AGCTAGCTATGAAGGTACTTTGCATTTACTTTGCATTTGTAAGGTGGATTCTTATATTAAAAATGCCACTAATAAGTCAAGTTTATTTACAAGCAGTCATTGTGAAACAAAAGCTCAGGCTCCACGCTGCTGTCAGAGAGGAAACGTATAAAATTGTTTATTTTTGGCAAATTTAGACCTACACCAAGGCCCCAAAACAACAGCATTATTTTAAAACCTTAAATTTGTAGACTACTCTAGTAAATTCAAATCATAAAAATATTTTGCTGAAAGTAAGTATAAATACATTCACTTTAAATAACTCTACAGAAAGTCAATAAGTCGTATTTCTAAATTGTTGATTAAAATAATTGTACAACAGAAAGACATAAAAGAACTTTGCCTAAGTTAGAATCTGTAATTGGCCACAGAACTCCAATGAAAGACCAACATTTCTGTCCATCTCCCAAGTTTAAACTTTAGATATTGGCAGTACTTGAATGCTCCTTTTCAGGCGATACCAAACAAGTATTGACGTCTGGTGCTGTGATGAGGGGAAAACCTTTACAGTTCAAGGAGTTTGGACAATGATAAAGACCACATCCGGATTTTTGAACCGTGTTTCAACATGCACATCACCCAACAGATAACACAGCAAGAGATTCAAATGGAAGATCTTTGGAAATACAAGATGACTCAGACCTTGACTAAGCGCTTGTGTGCTCTTCGCATAACTGGCATTTTGTCGTGACAGCCTCTCAAAAGTGGAAAAGCTATTCTACCACTTGTACCAGAATATTTGACAATCCACATTTGCGTCCAGTCACAGCACACAGAGTACAAGGCTTCACTCCAAGAGCTGACCTCAATCCTGCTAACAACAACCGATCTCTCGCACAATCCACTGCTCAGCCAAGCTGCTCACACATTGTCAGCATTATTAACGCGCTGTTTTCACACACTGTGTGGGAGCCTTAATGTGGGAATGACTGTGAAATCCAGTTGCCTAAACTGTCAAAGTTTCATTTTCTCAAGACTTTTAAGAATTTGTTTACTTCCTGGAGATTTTACTTCTCCAAATGTGTTTGACTTGTTCAATTCTATTATTCACTTAAAGTGCAAATTTGTGCTGTAAGACTTGGAAAAACACCTCTGCACAATGCGTGACTCTCTGTTCTGGCTGATTAACAATGTTACATCACATTATCCACCAGCCAATTGGAGGAGAAAAGAGGAAGGGAGGGAGAGACAAAACCACAAAGTGATTATGCAAGCAGCTGGCAGAGCTCACTATCAGTCGAAACAACGCATCACGTGGAAAGCAAACTGGATACAGTTGATGCATTAACTTCCACTTTGCTCTGTTTAAAACGTTGCGTTTTAAAAATAAATGCATTTATGAATCTGAATCTAAGCACGTTGTTAAACCTGCAGTCCACCCTGCATAATTTCTGATTTCACAGATTAAAAAGTCATCTGCTATACTGCAGAGGGCAACATGATTAAATCATGTACCGTAACAGCCGTCAGACACCAAATCTTATTCGTTTTTTCCACAAAGAAAAATGTCAAAAACCAACAAGTCTGGGTAAAACGCTATATAAACTATGTACACAGGTTTGTCCCTACAGGAAACTAGGCTTGTTAACCAATAATCAAACACATACTTTATCCTTTCAAGTAAAATTTAAATATGAATAAACTATTAAGTCAGCTGCAGCTTAACTGCTCTAGACTGAGACCTTAACACACTACATGGGTTGGAAAAACCCAACACTAATTCAAGAAGGGACAATAAATGCTACTGGTGTAACTCTACATGTTGTGCTGTTTAGCATTTTATCATTTACTCAAAAAAAAAGAAAAAGGAAAAGAAAAAAATGTTACAAATTAGCCTAAAAATTTAACAGAGACTGTATTTATTACAAATGGACTAATCGTGTTGACTTTCATGTCATAGAATCACAGGAAAACCACAATTCCAACTTAGACAGCAAATTCAAAATGCTTAGTGATTAAATTAAACTGATGATGAAACATTTAACCAATCATATGTACCTATCTCACTGTTTCCTGAGTAAGCGGAAACATTGCACTTAATACTGTGTAACATATACTCAATTGTTACCAAGTCCCAGCAGTCAGAGCTGACCATTTTCTCTCCTGGTTGATTAGAGCGCCGTCAGTCACAGAATAGTCAGTCCACCACCAGAGAAAAACTCAAATGAATAACCTCTACATTTGTTTAGATGACTAGGTTTTAAGCTCAAAAATGTGATCAGCTGTTCTCCACTGCTGATGCCAAAAACCTCCAACATGGCCACAAGAGAACACATTACAGCAGCTGATGAAGCCCTGTTAGAGAATGTTTTTTGCATATTTATATTCATAGCTCAGTTGGAGAGCTCAAAGAAGATACACTTCCCTCTGCCACTATCGACTTCCCCCATCACACAATAAATTATATCATTGCTAGCAGCCAGTATTAGCCCACACAGCCTGTGCAGTAAATAATATTCAACATCTACTGTTCACCTATGCCAGAGGAAGGACATCCAGTTCATTATAGTAAGGACTGATCCACCAGTAGTCCAAAAGTGTAGATGAAAAACTATATGAACGTGTACCTTAAACCAAACAACCAGTACTATACTCAAAGTTACCCTCGCCTGTCTCAGCAGGCCATAGAGCCTCCTTTGATCAAATGTAGTCCCAAATATACCATCCTCACAGATTGAATAACTAGGTTATCATTTTAATAAATAAAGATGTCTTCAAAAGTATCTTTAGGATATAAAGGACCATATCCTCCTCACTTCTCAAGAACACTAAGGTAGTCTTTTTAGTGCATTTATGAACAAGAGGAGGAAATTAAACCGGTCTGTTGTGTTTAAAGAAGGATGTTCAGCTTAAGTAAATAAACGCTGGATATCGGTTACCAAAAAAGCTTAAATGAAAGCCTGTGGCCTGATCTGCTATTTTGTTCGAGACTATCACTGCTGCTGCTTCCAGGGGAGCAAAGACTGGAAACCTATACATTAGCTATCTATAGGCAGTGGACATTTAGTTACACAAGAGCCGTCAGTGTCAATTCTTATCGTTAGGACGATTAATTTGGACAATAATTGAATCTTGTAACAGAGAAAATGCTCTCGAAGTCAAACACAATGAAGAATGATATCGTTTATTATCAAATGTTTTATGGCAGCGGATGTCACTGCTAGCTCCTTTGCTACACAGACTGATAGCTTAGTAGCTAACGTTACTGGGACTAAACACAGAACAGCTGATTGATTGTGAGCTCGAATAGGAAACCCGGAGAAGATGACTTATTGTTAGAGACGTCTATATTATAACGAGACTAACAACGGTAAACAATACAAAAATGTTGTCCGCCAATAACTTACCTAGGTAGATGTCTCCAAAAGAGCCACTTCCAATTTTCCTCCCCAGTCTGTATCGGTTACCCACTCTCAACTCCATGGTAAGCAAGCTTCAGTCGGCTAGCAAGCACGCTCGCTAGCTCGGAAACAGCCAAAAACGTCCTGGTTTAGAGCTCAGCCTTATTTAAAAGCACCACAGCCAAAAGCATCCAACGCAAACGAGCTATTCAGGCGAAGGACTGACTCTTCTCTATGCTGTCGCCGGATGAGGTCGATACTCACAATCTTTCGCCTCTTGTTTTAAAGTATTCCTAACTTCATAATGTGACAATATGAGGTTCACTGGAAAGGTTAATCGTTGTACTTTCTGCTCCTGGTGTTTTCTGTGCCGATACACTTTAATTCTCCACGGATGAAGGCGGATTTTGAGCAGGTTACTTTTACGATTCTGCTCTGATCCTCTTCGTCTGGCTGCCTTGTCTGCTCTCTGTGAGGACCCTGTTCAGCACTTCTCTGAATGTGTCTGACATCACTTCCCTGCAGGGTGAAGTGGGGGAGGACGCTAATCAGAGAGCCTATTGCAGTAGAGTTCCCAACAGATACCACTAACGATAACGGACCCAACCACATCTCCAGCCTTGGTAGTTTCTTCACTTTGAACTGTTACAAGAGCTAAATTTAAAAACGTTTGCTTTTAAATAACCGGGAAATACAGTGTAATGAAAAATAAATGAAAATCATTCACACGGGACAAGAGTGTGAGGTTTCGCCTGATCCGTAGCCGCCATTTTTACCTTCTCCGGGGCTCTGTGTTGTTGCACCTGTATTTTCCGTTAGAGACTAATCTTTACAAAGCGAAAGAGTCTGGTCGTGCACATAAACAAAAGATGTACTCTTTTGTCCAGCTGGCCACTGTCCACCTTCTCATAAACAAATTAAACAAATACAGTCTTTTGCTGTATGACATGGTAAAAAAAAAAAAAGAAGTCCTAAATAGATATTTATTTTAAAATAAAACCGTTAATACAAAATGTTACTGATCGGGGACTGAGTTTAATGTTTAATCTAACCAGTTTCTTAAAAATTGTTTAAAAAAATAAAATAAATTAGATCATCAATTATTTTATAGCTGTTTGGTAATTAACAGTGGTTTAAATTGAGTGTTATCAACTGGATTTTGACGCCTATAGGTTTCGTATATCGAGCATAGTGACATCAAAAAGTACAAACCAGATTTTTTTTTATCACATTATATTAAACAGCTCCCACGTTGTCCAGCTTTGTCGTTTTAGTTTGTGAAATTGGAATGGAAATGAAAATGCCGATAAATTACCAAAAGGTGCTTTTGCTAAAAGAAATAACAATACCCATTCCACTTGGAAAATGTGAAGGAAGGGCAGTTATCAATAAGATAAGGATGGAACTATGGCAGAAAAGATAGTATGAGGATAAGAAATGAAAAAATATTTCAAAAATGTGACATACACTAGAAAGGGGAAACTGGAAGCAGGGAAGGGAACGGTCATTGATGGATATTTGGGGGAACAGATGGGCGGGGCTGAAGGTGTAGGAAGGAGACTAAGAGAAGAAGGAACTAGGAAAGCAATTTTTGTTATTTGAGAGAAACACAGCTGGTTGGGAGCTGATTTAGTTTGTTAATAACATGATGATGTACACACTGTACAGTAGGTGGTGGTGTGCACCTTTCAGCTGTCTGCAACCGCCTATTAACTTGAGAGAGAATGAGAGAGAGAACGACGTCCTCACTGGTTGAAAAGCCGTTTCAGTTTCCATGTCTTCAGATAACTTGACACTTCATTACTCTCTGCACGAAATTCAGGGAAATGGCATCGAGTGGTGAGGAAATCCAGCTTCCTTTACGAAGGAAAAGAAAGAACGGAGAGGAAAGTGATGGTGTCGCAGGAAAGAGGTACAACATTTAGTCAGGAGAGCCCTTCTGCCTGCTGTGTGAAAATTAGGCCTAAAAGTTCCCGATATACGTATTTCTTTTTTTTTATGCCTTATATCTTTATTTATTTTGGTAAATAGGCTGTAGTCAACATAACCTATGGCGTTAAATATAAAACAAAGAACAGCTTTGCAAGTATGTTTAACAGTCTGCTATTCTTCCTGCTCTGCGTTTGATATTATAATTAATCACCTTTTTGCCACTTGAAATGTCTTTATTGAAATGCTATGAGATATTTGTCAGGTGTCTTTTGTAAAACTGATTTTTAAATCTCAAAGAGAGGATACGAAATGATCGATCACGTTGCCAAAAAAAAGTTATGTTAGAGAACTTCCGGTCAAGATCTTCTGTCTTGTCAAGTTAAGCTCCGTCTTCACCTAGGAGAAGAGAAAGGAGAAAACTACGGGACACATTACTGGAAGCAGGAAGGGAATGATCATTTATGGGGATCATGCCAGATACATTGGGGTTCTCGTCGGTGGATGAGAAGGTTGCTTCCCTGCACCTTCTGGTCAGGGAACGATTCCTGACTGTTTGTGCTTATGCATCAAACAGTTCAGAGTAACCAGGCTTATTGAAGTCACTGAGTGGGCAACGACAAGGAGACATCGAGGAGCGTGACTGGGAGGAACGACCTGTCTAAACTGATCCCGAGCTGTGTTTTGTTTTTGGACTTTTTCATAAACCACAGTTTGTTTGTTTGAAAGGGAGAGTGTTTGTTAGTTGAACAACAGATACAGGAGGAACAAGGTGGTTTTTGTCCTGTTCGCAGACCACTGAACCAGCTCTTTATCCCCTCAATGATATTTGAGAGTGTGTGGAAAAGGCATTGGAGTGTCCCATGGGGGATGCTTCGGGAGTATGGGGTGTCCGGTCCATTGTTATTAGCCATTCAGTCCTTGTTACGGGAGCTTTGTCCACATTACCGGTGTTATGCCAAGAAATGATCGTCTGCCAAAAACTGATTTCCGGTATTTGCCAAAAACTGGTTGCTCGTATTTAAACTGCTATAAATAACTTGTTGGTCTATAATATGTGAGACATATGTCAAATATATGTATGTATGAATGATATCAGGTCATCTTGAACCACAAACAGCATTCTTGTAACAAGGTAGAAGCCGTAATCAGTTTTTGGCAGTGACTTTTATATATCCTTTATTTATCCAGTTAAAAATGTGTTTTTTAAGAGCAATCTGGCCAAGAGGACAGAAGATATTGCAACAAATATAACGTTCTGTAAACATATTTTATGGCAAAAAGGACCAGATTAGTTATAATGTAAGTACAATAACACAGAGTTATAAAGATACTTGAAAAACATGTAATTTTTACATTTTGTATATAACCCCTTTGTAAACCCTCTTCACTGAAGTCTATTTACCAACATACACAAAGAGATTACACATAAAAACCAGGAAGCACTGGAAATCAGGTTTTGGTAGGCGATCACTTTCTGGCACAACACTGGCAACAATTCGGACTAATTTCCGGTGGGTGCTGGACTCTTCCAGGACTCTTCCAGAGCAACTTTTTTATGTTAAGGGAATTTTCTCTGTCTGGGAACCGATTAATTGCAATATTGTCAGAAAAATTTTTGATGTCTGGGAACCTTTTTCGGAAATACTGTCACATCAGATTAGTTTAAAAACCAATTTAAAAAAAAACCTTTTCCTGGTTTCTTATCCTTTATCAGGTTGGAATCTTGTTTGGATCAGCCCACGGACTCAGTTACTTGTGAAGTCGTCACGTATACAGCGTCACCGCTACCTAGTAAGGTTACAAGTCTAAAAAGATCTGAGTTAAAGCTGGTATGTTGTACATTCTTGTACATGCTGTTTCTTGTTGTCTTCAAGAGAAACATTATGATGCTGACACCACTGAACCAATCACCTGCGGTCTTGAATCAATGGAGGATCTGTTGTCGTGGACAAGAAGTAAGGCAAACCCCTTCAGTGTGGCAGTTGTCCCCTTGGCACCTAGAGAGCCTCCTCTGGACCGTTGTCTGCGACGGACCTTGGTGTCTCATGACATGATGGGTGGCTACCTTGATGACAGGTATGAAGCGAGTGAGCCATGCCAACATGTGATACGCACTTTCTTTGTCTATGCTTCACGTTTCTGAATCATAAGATTCAGCACGGTGATTTCTGGCTAATCTTGCTGACAGACCTTAATGTGACACCTTGCGATATGATCACAGAGCACCCAAACCTTGTGCATGCTGACCTTATAAAAAGGGTTAAAGCCACTGGGGTAAAGGGTACAGCTAAAATTGTTGCCTTGGCAAATATCTATATTTAATTAGCTTGTTGAAATACAAAACTGTAATTAAAGTCAGATATTTGTCTGTCTTAATAATAGGGTGTGATAGTTTTCTTCGTATTTTAACATAGACTATCAATACAGCAGTTTACTATGGTGCTTTAAATAATAACCTTCTTCTGTCCGTGCATGTTAAGCACAAAAATGATATGTGTGGGTGTGTTATGGTGTTAAATCCTGATTGTTTGGTACTCTTACACAAGGACCACGCTGAATCAGCAGTCCTTGTATATTAGTCCTTTTCCATATAACCACTTTCAGTGGCATTTTTGCGTCATTTACCCTAACACCTGCAATCATGCTCAATGCTGATCGATTCTATACATGAACAAAAGCTATGTTTATGAGAGCCCTAGAAAACAAAGTGTCTTTCGCAATATATCAGCAGGCCTACGGTCAAAGTGGCATATTTTTACAATAATAATGAGCTGCAGCCAAAACAGCCGCGTGCGTGACAGGAAACAGGCCATGGAGCAGCCGAATAATTAAATTTGTGAGCTAGCGTTTGTGACGGGGAAGGCTAATACATCGACAGTAGCTGCTTCTGTCTCAGTGCAGACGGTCAGAAAACATGCAAACAGGTGATACAGAGCTGTTTTTGTCTTTTTTATCTTACCAACAATTTTTTTTTGAAAGCATAATTTCTTTGTGGCTTTAGTTAGCATAGTGTGTGTGTGTGTGTGTGTGTGTGTGTGTGTGTGCGTGTGTGTGTGTGTGTGTGCGTGTGCGTGCGTGCGTAAGCGACTGCAACAATATTGGACATATTCTCCTCTTATCATCTTTGCCACAAATAGTTCTTTAATTTACTTTGAAAAGATTTGGTCAACACAACTAATCCCCTGCCTTTGATTTAATAACTAAAGGGTCCACCCTAAAACCAGTGTATTATATTAAAATCTGTAATTATTCATTCTGAATTATTCTTAGACACTGCACCAGGTCATCCAACTGATTAGCTTCTAACTGGCTGCAGGCTGCCGCTCTGCCCAGTTCTGAGATCCATCAAGGGCCAGCCCACAAACTATGCCTTAGACCATGGTATAGCTACTTAAGAAAACTGCAGCAAACGGCAGTTTTGTATGCATGACAGTTTTTAGTGAGGCTCCATGCCGTAAAATAACCTTAAAACGCGTAGAGTTTCATTACTACTTTAAATTATTTTAGATCTGATTGACACATTTTCTTCCTCTGGAGAAAAGATGTCAGGTCACTTGTTCCCAGCTAGAAGAAAATTCGAAATGCTTGTAAATCCCAACACACATCCAGTTACAACCAACTACATGTACTGTAAATGCTACAGTTTGATACACCTTACCTAGAACAGCCTAAACTTGTGGCTTAAGCTTTTATTTCTTTGGTTTAAGTTCATGGAGATGTTGTTACAGTCACACTGTTGTACTGGTCTCACACAGGCTTTCTTCTGTTTCCCCTCTAAGGTTTGTTCAGGGCACAAATGCAGAGGCTCCATATGCTTTCTACCACTGGCAGTACATTGATATTTTTAACTACTTTTCACACCACCTGGTAACTATTCCTCCGGCTGTGTGGACCAATGCTGCACACAAACATGGAGTCATCGTTATTGGTGAGCAGAAAGTCTCAATAAAGCAGAACCAGACCCAGTTTAGTACGTCTGAAATAGCATCATAAATTTTAAATGTAGGATATACTAAAAGAAAAGGAGTATGTTGGCAGAAAGAGAAATGGTATCTTTTCTTGTCTTGAAATGTTAAACTGCTGTGGTCTACAGGGACTTTCATCACAGAGTGGATAAATGGAGCTGCGATGTGTGAAGACTTCCTGAAAGATGAGGAGTCGTACCGGAGAGTAGCTGATAAACTTGTCCAGATTAGCCACTGTTTTGGCTTTGACGGCTGGCTCATTAACATAGAGAACAAGCTCAGTGTGAGTAAAGCTTCTGTGCTCACCTCTAAAACAAAATGTTTAGGAAATACAGCCAATTTTTTAATCCATCTCCCAACCGGCACCAAGTTTTACCCCTAGTCAGCTCTTCCAGCTCATCCAGGGTACTCACAGGTGTTTTCCAAGCTAGCTAAGAGATATAATCCCTTCAGTGTGTCCTGTGTTTATTGTGGGGTTTCCTCGCAACACCTCATTTAGGAGGCATTGTAGACAGATGCCCGAATCACCTAAATTGGGTTATTTAGATGTGGAGGAGCAGCAGCTCCACTCCAAGTTCCTTCCTAATGACCAAACTTGTCATCCTATCTTGAACGGAGAGCTCAGCCACACTTCAGAGGAAGCTCATTTCTGCTGCTTGTGCCCTCATTTATGAACAAGACCCTCAGGTACATAAACTCCTGCACTTGATCAAGAATTTACCATAGCTTGGAATGGCATGGATTAGGAGGCAGTCAGGGACAGAGTTCCTGATGATTACAAAGCCAACATATTGGGTGCCAGTGTAGCTGACATAATGAACCTGTGTTTACAGTTTTTCTCAAATGTTAAAACACAAAAGCCAATCCTGTAACCCAAATGACCAGTAGTCTAAACACATTTACTAAATGTAGCCACCATATTCCAGTACCATAAACACATGTCACATGAAGACACAATTCACAAAACACAACCCTCTGTACTCATAAATCTAAACACATTTTTCCTTGCTAAAACACATGTTGCAAAACAACTCTGCTCATATCCTCAAATGAAAGCCCATGTGATGCAAAATGCTTGCCACAGTCACCAATCTTTGAACACAGGGAACACACCTGGCGTCATTCACTACACACAATGACTCAAAATTGAAGACACTTGTTGCTAATGCTGTACCCACATGTAAAAGCAAGTTCAGAGTGCACAGTATGCTGAAGGTTCCAAACAAACACAATGGATGAAGGCAGAGTCAGGGGAAGAGGAATTTGATGCAGAGGAGGGAGAAGAGCTGGCCCTGGAAGAAGAGGAGCAGGCCAATGAGGAAGAGGAGTTCAAATGAGAGGAGGAAGAGGAGCGACCAACGAGGAAGAGGAGAAGGCCAACATGGGAGAGGAGAAGGTCCAGGAGGGAGAGCAAGACAACCTCGCACCATCATTACGGACGAGATGCGAGCAACAGCTCAGCGACATGATGCCGCACAGTGATTGTGGTGTGTGTGTGGTGTGAATAACGTAAATAAAAAAACTTCACACCCTGTTCATGTTTTCAAGATTACTGTTGTGTGCAATAGATTCTGTTTTTGCATTGAGTTGTGTTACAGTAGTGTACGTACATGCAGGATTTTCTATAGATTTATACTACTCATATGAAACTCACAAATCTAAATGCCTAATCCTCTGCAGAGATCTACGACGATCCGTTACTGTATAGTTTCTAAAATTGCATTGGCAGTTATGAAACAAAGAACCTTCTCACAAATTGAGCGTTGTGTTTTCAATTGTTTTGCTGTAGTGTGTAATGCTGTGTATTGTGTTTACAGTTTTGACAGCTTCGAGCTGCTCTCTTGGTGTGGGAGTTTGAGTTTTGCAGTGGGAAGGTGTGGTTGTGTTTATGTAGCTTTAGAGAAGGGTGTTGTGTTTGGACATTGGGGGACCTGGTGGTAACGTTTGTGACATGTGTTTTAGCATTTGAGAAAAACTGTAATGCAGTGGCAGGTTTGACTTCAACCGGATGCCATTTGTTCCATCTTCCCGCTCTCTCTGTCTCCAGTTTCTATTCTTAACTATCTAAAAAAGGAAAAAAGCCTAAATTTTTTTCTGTTTATTTTTTTAATAACACTTAAAAAAATAAACTGGACTGAGACGAATAAGTCATCTTTTACACAATACTTAATTGTATGTTGTAAATCTTAATGTACCGTTTTCCCAGAAATGGCAGCACCCTCTACATCTTTGTCAGTAGATGTAGAGGGGAAGGATTACAGACAGCTTTTATGCAATCTTATTGAAAACCTATTAAATCACTGAAAAAGCCACAGAAGCAAAAACAAATCCTACATCTGTCATTAATAACAGGCTGTGAGTATTTAGCTTTTACTCTACCATCTATTGGAGCAGATCAAAGAAATGATTTAATCAGAAACAGCGGTCCCTCGTTTATGGCAGGAGTTACATTCTAAAAATAACTCGCGATAGGTGAAATCCACAAAGTAGTCAGCTTTATTTTCTACAATTATTAGAGATGTTTTAATGTAAAACCCCTCACTACTCACTATATACACTTTTTTTCAGACAGGCATGAACATTTTCACACTTTTCTCTCTTGTTTAAAGACTCTTAAAGTTCAAACCGTTGTAGAAAAATAAGTCCAGTAGTATAAAACGTTTCGTTGACATTGCCGTGTTTGTTGGGGAGAAAACGTACAAACACACAGTGCAGCACTTCAGAGTCACACTGCTAGCAATTGAAGATTTATGTAAATTTGACAAGCTGAACGCATTCTTTACTGGACAGGAGACACGACACGATTGACAATGGTCTACAGCCAATCAGCATGCAGAACACAATTCGCTGTGTATTTTAAAAAAAAAAAGCATGCAAAATTGCACAAAAAAATCTGCAAAACAGCGAGGCCGTGAAAGGTGAACCGTGCTATAGCGAGGGACCGCTGTACTACTGATGTGTGCTTTGATTTGTGCTTACCTTTTGGGAAAAAGTAAACCGATTGCATGACAGTGTCAGTCTTTGCAGCTGTAGCAGATGGATCATGTGTGCTGCTCTCTGCTTACAGGAGGTTGCAGTGCGAAATGTGCCGCTGTTCCTGCGCTATCTGACAGACCAGATGCACGAGAGAGTGTCCGGCAGCCTTGTGCTGTGGTACGACAGTGTACTTGACAATGGAGAGCTAAAATGGCAGAATGAGCTCAACCAGTCCAACAGGTAGATTAAAAAAAAACAAAACGTGTTTCCTTTATAGCATCTGATCAAAAACAAAGACTGAAAAAGAGAACTTTGGTCCACAGAAGTGTGTCAGACCTTTTAGATCACGATTGCTTCTAGCCTGTCAGTTCCTGGCAAACAGTTATGTATCCGTGTCAATATCTCCATACCAGGGTGTTTTTTGATGCTTGCGATGGCCTCTTTACCAACTACAACTGGAAGGAGGAGAACCTAGTGGAGATGAAGAACCTGGCGCTCCAAGACCGCCAAGCTGACATCTATGTTGGAGTGGATGTGTTTGCTCGAGGAGAGGTAGTAGGAGGAATGTTTGAGACAAATAAGGTAAGAAACTGTGAATTGTGTTTACCAGCTTGTGCTTGTACCGTGCAGCGTCTGATTTTGGTTGTCTGCAGGCGCTGGAGATCATTCGAAGGCACAACTTCTCTGTAGCCATCTTTGCTCCTGGCTGGGTATACGAGACTCATGAGGATAAGAGTGAATTCCGCAAGAATCAAGACAAGTGAGACTAGTGCAACATCTACTCTGTGAAAAAATCAGACTGTATTTATAGATGGGTGTAGGCACCATAAGTTGAAGGCTTTAGCCATCACTGTCTTGTTTTTTAACAGTAAGCAGCAGAAGTGAGATTGTGCACTGAGAGGCTAGTAACTTCTCACTTGTCAGTCCTTTTGGGCTCTAATGAGAACCATAATAGGGGGAGGAAGCTGAGAGCCTTTTTCACATTCAGACTTACAATCACTCCTTGCTGGCTGTTGGAGTAAATGCTAAGTTAAGGTTCTTGTGCATTTGCAACACTTCTGAGAACTGGACACAGCATCCATCTTTCAAATATAGACAATATGTGGGGCATGTTAGTCAGTGTAAAGACTGAGATGTCTGTCCTCTGTGCAGGTTCTGGGCTCTTCTGTCAAACTACCTGTACATCCACCGACTAGCCTCACCGCTCCCCTTCGTCTCCTCCTTCTGCCAGGGCTTTGGGAATGCCGTCTACTGGCAAGGACAGGTACTGAAGTAAAGCGTTATTTATGTATTACACTGCTTCATGTATTACCTTTGCATTACTCCCTGTGTAAATGCCAATAACAATATGACACTAAACTTTCTTTTGCTCACATTTTATTTAGAAAGCACTTTAAAATACCCAGCACAGGACCAAAGTGCTGTACAGAAAATAAGTTAAAAACAATAGAATAACAGAAGACAGCAAAAATAAATAAAACACATAATACATAAAAATTAAAACAGCCCTATATTAAAAAACAAGATAAAACAGCATAGAATCAACTAAAAACAACTAAAATAACACTAAAAATAAAAACCAAAATCTCACGTGGTGTCAAAGGCCAGGGTGAAGAGGTGGGTTTCCAGGAGTGATTTAAAAACAGGTAGAGAAGAAGCCTGTCTGCTCTCTGAAGGGAGATCGTTCCATAGGTTGGCGCACGATCTCCTCTATGCTCAGCCCTGGGTACATTCAGGAGCAGCTGATCAGCTGACCTGAGAGAGCGGGTGGGTGTATAAGGCTGTAGCAGCTCAGAGAGATAAGATGGGGTTAGGCTATGGAGGGCTTTAAAAGCAAATAAAAGAATTTTAAAATGAATCCTAAAAGAAATGCTCCTACATACTTGCACATATTTCTATCCTAATAAGGAAAACTTCCATAAGATATTTCTTTGAAGTTTTACCACAAAACTCACGGCAAAGTCAAAAACAGCCCTGGAGCAGTTTACAGGGCTGACAGTGATCTGAGTACACTTGGAACAAGGTGTGATTCTAAAAGCTGTTGCATCACTTCTTTTGTTTTGTTTTCAATCCCAGTCAAGTTTCATCTGCTTGGCTAGTGTGAAGGGGTGTGCTAACTTTGTGTTAGCGTCATAGATTGTGTAGAAAAGGGTTGATTTCTGAGGTGTTGTATAGCTTTGATGTACACTCCTTAAGTTGCTTTGCCATTGCTGTCCCGTCTCCCATTCTTCTAAACAGAGCTTTTCCTCACAAACAGAAGGTTTGAACAGCAGGTGGGTGGTCTTCTGTACTTACAGAGAGCTTTGTGACTCAGATGGCCTTATTTAGGGTGTCCCCCTCTGGTAATGATCTCACTGACATCACTATAGAGATAGAATAGAAGAAACTGTCTGAAGCCAAGACCAAGCTGAAGCCTGTGCTTTTGGATCAGAGGGCTTACTCGTGTAATATGAGTATTCACTGTTGTACTGGTAACAGTGAATACTGTCCTTTTTCTTTTTTATGTAAAGGAAAGACAATTTACATAAAAAAGAAAAAGGACAGTATTCACTGTTACCAGTACAACAGTGAATACTCATATTACACTTTACATTTTTTTATGTAAAGGAAAGACAATTCTCCTCCTTGAATCGCTACCTTATCGTGGTGGAGGGGTTTGTGTGTCCCAGGGATCCCAGGGGCTATGTTGTCTGGGGGCTTTTGCCCTCTGGTAGGGTCTCCCATGGCAAATTGGTCCTGGGTGAGGGACCAGACAAAGAGCAATTCAGAAGACCCTTATGAAAAGAATATCGAGGGAACAGTTTACCCTGCCCGGGATAGGGTTACCGGGGCCCCGCCCTGGAGCCAGGCCCGGGGAGGGTGCCTGAGGGCGAGCATCTGGTGGCCGGGCCTTAGTCCATGGGGCCCGGCCGGGCACAGCCCGAAGAGGAGACATGGGCCCATCCTCCCGCAGGCCCACCACCCGCAGGAGGCGCCATAGGGGTCGGGTGCATTGTGTGCCGGGTGGCGGCCAGGAGCGGAGGCCCTGGCGGACTGACCCCCGGCTGCCAAGACTGGCAATAGGGACATGGAATGTCACCTCTCTGGTGGGGAAGGAGCCTGAGTTAGTGCGTGAGGTTGAGAGGTACCGGCTAGATATAGTCGGGCTCACCTCTACGCATGGCTTGGGCTCTGGAACCAGTCTCCTGGAGAGGGCTGGACTCTGTCTCAGTCTGGAGTTGCCCCTGGTGAGAGGCGGCGGGCTGGGGTGGGTATCCTAATATCCCCTCGGCTTGCTGCCGGTACGTTGGGGTTTTTCCCGGTGGACGAGAGGGTTTGTTCCCTGCGCCGAGTGGCAGTTCGGAGTACCCAGCCTTCTTAGAGTCCTTGGGGGGGGTGCTGGAAGGTGCTCCACCTGGAGACTCTGTTGTCCTGCTGGGAGACTTCAATGCTCACGTGGGTAACGACAGCGAGACCTGGAGGGACGTGATTGGGAGGAACGGCCTCCCTGATCTGAACCCAAGCGGTGCTTTGTTATTGGACTTCTGTGCTAATCACAGTTTGGCCATAACGAACACCCTGTTCGAACATAAGAGTGTCCATAAGTGCACGTGGCACCAGGACGCTCTAGGCCGTAGGTCGATGATCGATTTTGTAATCGTATCACCAGACCTGCGACCATATGTTCTGGACACTCGGGTAAAGAGAGGGGCTGAGCTGTCAACTGATCACCACCTGGTGGTGAGTTGGATCAGGTGGCGGGGGAGGACGCTGGACAGACCTGGTGCACCTAAACGCGTAGTGAGGGTGTGCTGGGAACGTCTAGCAGAGGCCCCAGTCCGCGAGATCTTCAACGCACACCTCCGGCAGAGCTTCAACAGCATTCCGAGGGAGACTGGGGACATTGAGTCCGAATGGACCATGTTCAGCGTCTCCATTGCCGAAGCTGCTGCATTGAGCTGCGGCCAAAAGGTGGTTGGTGCCTGCCGTGGTGGTAATCCCCGAACCAAATGGTGGACACCAGAGGTGAAGGGAGCCACCAGGCTGAAGAAGGAGTCCTATCGGGCTTGGTTAGCCTGTGGGACTCCGGAGGCAGCCGACAGGTATCGACAGGCTAAGCGGAATGCGGCTCGGGCAGTGGCTGAAGCAAAAACTCGGGTGTGGGAGGAGTTCGGAGAGGCCATGGAAAAAGACTTTCGGACTGCCTCGAAGAGATTCTGGCAAACCGTCAGGCGTCTCAGGAGGGGAAAGCGGTGCTCTACCTACACTGTGTATAGTGCTGGCGGAGCGCTGCTGACGTCGACTGAGAAAATTGTCAGGCGGTGGAAGGAATACTTCGAGGACCTCCTTAATCCCACCGACACGTCTTCCGAGGAGGAAGCAGAGTCTGGGGATGAGGGGAATGACCCGCCAATTTCCAGGGCGAGGTCACTGAGGCAGTTAAACAACTCCTTGGTGGCAGAGCCCCTGGTGTTGATGAGGTCCGCTCCGAGTTCCTGAAGGCTCTGGACGTTGTAGGGCTGTCCTGCTTGACACGCCTCTGCAATGTTGCGTGGACATCAGGGGCAGTACCTGTGGACTGGCAGACCGGGGTGGTGGTCCCCATCTTTAAGAAAGGGGACCGGAGGGTGTGTTCCAACTACAGGGGGATCACACTCCTCAGCCTCCCTGGGAAAGTCTATGCCAGGGTGCTGGAAAGGAGAGTTTGTCCGCTAGTCGAACCTCGAATACAGGAGGAACAATGCGGTTTTCGTCCTCGTCGCGGAACACTGGACCAGCTCTTTATCCTCTCGAGGGTACTTGAGGGTGCATGGGAGTTTGCCCAACCAGTCTACATGTGTTTTGTGGACTTGGAGAAGGCATTCGACCGTGTCCCTCGGGGTGTCCTGTGGGAGGTGTTGCGGGAGTATGGGGTGTCTGGCCCATTGCTACGGGCCATTCGATCCCTATACAACCATTGTAAGAGCTTGGTTCGCATAGCCGGCAATAAGTCGGACTCGTTCCCGGTGGGTGATGGGCTCCGCCAGGGCTGCCCTTTGTCTCCGGTTCTGTTCATAATTTTCATGGACAGGATTTCTAGGCGCAGCCAAATGGCGGAGGGCTTTCGCTTTGGTGGCCTCAGAATCTCATCTCTGATTTTTGCGGATGATGTGGTTCTGTTGGCTTCATCGGTTCGCAGCCGAGTGTGAAGCAGCGGGAATGAGGATCAGCACCTCCAAATCTGAGGCCATGGTTCTCAGCCGGAAAAGGGTGGAGTGCCCACTCCGGGGTCGGGGATGAGTTCCTGCCCCAAGTGGAGGAGTTCAAGTATGTCGGGGTCTTGTTCGCGAGTGATGGGAGAAGGGAGCCGGAGATCGACAGACGGATTGGGGCTGCAGTAATGCGGGCGCTGCACCGGTCCGTCGTGGTGAAGAGGGAGCTGAGTGTAAAAGCGAAGCTCTCAAGTTACCGGTCGATCTACGTCCCTACCCTCACCTATGGCCACGAGCTGTGGGTAGTGACCGAAAGAACGAGATCACGGATACAAGCGGCAGAAATGAGCTTCCTCCGAAGGGTGGCTGGCCTCTCCCTTAGAGATAGGATGAGAAGTTCGGCCATCCGGGAGGGGCTCAGAGTAGAGCAGCTGCCGCTCCACATCGAAGGGAGCCAGCTGAGGTGGTTCGGGCATCTGACAAGGATGCCCCCTGGGTGCCTCCTGGGTGAGGTGTTCCAGGCATGTCCCACCGGGAGGAGGCCCCGGGGCAGACCCAGGACACGCTGGAGAGATTATATCTCTCGGCTGGCCTGGGAACGCCTTGGTGTTCCCCCGGATAAGCTGGAGGATGTGGCTGGGGAGAGGGAGGTCTGGGCCTTTTTGCTTAGGCTGCTGCCCCCGCGACCCGGCCTCTGATAAAGCAGATTAAGATGGATGGATGGATGGATGGAAAGACAATTTTGCATATCAGGTGATAATTTAAAAAACAAACAAACATCATCAACAGTGTAATTATTTATTTAAAGAAGACAAACTCCAGAATTAGTCTGTGAAAAACAAAGTACACTTCTTGTTAACGTCTTGAACCACTTTCAGTTATTCTGTTGTAGATTTACTTTGTGTGTTTAAGATGATCGGTTATCGCCCAGACAGCCGGACATTTGACTCTAGACTAGTTTAGTGTACGGAGGAGTTCAGGGTCAGCAGGGTGTCCGGGTCCCATCCTCTGAAAACCAACCTAAACCGTCATCTCTGCACCACCTTGCTCGTTAGTTGGTATGAGGTGTTTGTTTTCACATGTGGTGCAGGCACCTCCCCTTGTGTGTCCAAAGGACGTTATTCCACAAGTCTTGTGGTTTGTTCAGACACAACAACTTTGCAAACCTAAACCATGCTGCCGTCTTCTCATGTTCAGAGAGAAGTGGACTTTTCCTACAACCATTGCAACAAGCCAGTCTTATTCTAATTGTATGGTCATGAACTTTAACCTTAACATGCTTACAGAGGTTTGTAACATGTAATGTTTTACAGGTCATCGTTAAGCTGTAAGCAGCTGAAAGCTTACCTGTTACTCAAAAGTTTACTTGTCAAACCTATTAAAGTGTACTATTTGCTTTATTAGTTTATTAACATTGTTTAAAAATGTGCAGAGTAATTTTGTATTTTTTACTCTTTTTTTTTCTGTATGTAGCATGAGACAAATAGCAGCTGGTTCAACCTGACAGCCCAGGAGATTCAGCCTTTGTACTACCACCAGACTCTAGGGGGACTCGGGTGGCTGAGAAGCTCTGGCTGCCCGAAGGACGCCTGGAATGGAAGTTGTTCGCTGCTGCTCGACGGACTCATCCCTGCAAGCCACACCACTCCAGTTTGTGCCAAGTGTGTGGGTTTGTTTGATTGAGGCTTTATTTTGTTTTAGTTTCTACCTTATTTTCACATAGAAAACTCAGAACTGCAGTCTAAGGCACATATGGAACAGCTCATTTCTCTTTTTTTTTCCCTTGATTCAGGATCTTCTCCATCCATGTACCCCTGCCGTCCAGTACACTGGTGAGCCTCATCTACAAGGCGTCTCCTGAGATCGCAGTCTCCTTGGAGCTGAAGACGACTGATGCCAGTCAGTGCACACACGTCGATGTCCAGGAAATCCAACGTGAGTTTCTTAAGACCCTTCAAAAAATCTTTTTGAATCACCACCATTAAGCCTGACAGGGAATCACTACTCATTTCGCACAGTCAAAACCCTCTCTGCTTTAGTTTGGTTTACATTATAGTTGAGAACATTTAAGGAGCAGACTAATTAAAAACTGACTGATTTTCATGTGTGAAATTAAGTTTGTACGGCTGTTGGTTGTTTTTATAAACTGTTACCTTATTGAGTTTCATTATAGACAGTTTACCCAGCGAGTGCCTCTTTAAAAACGAGAAAAAGGACCCTTCCTTTGGTGAGTGGTGTAGATATTTAGACTTTGCAGTGTTTCAATCCAAACTATATGAAATTACTATTCTTCAATGGCTGGAAACTATAGACTGTATACAAAAGATGGATTAAGAGACTCATCCATTGGTTTCTGGATTCCACAGGTTAAAACCTCAGCGTTGGCACTGAGCTGTTTGAATATTAAACTGTATGATTGTGAGAATAGTCTGGCTTATAGACACTCTAAGCAAAACTCTTGCTTAAATCAGAATAATTCCATTTATTTAGAGATATGGGTTTTTTTGCTTTTGACGCCTCAATTCTCTTGTGATTTCTCAAAGAGACGGAAGGCAAAATATAGAGTTTGTCAAAAGAAGTGTTGCAGCGATGTTCTGGATGAGGAAAATGTGTTTATTGAACATTACAGTGCGCAAACCTGTTCTGGCAGACCTGCAAATAAAGAACTTTAAACATGTTTACAGCACAGTATGGGCACTTCGAGGCCATTAGGTCTCATACAAAAACCAATATTCAATAAACAAAACCTTTGTAGAGCCATCCTATTGGTCCCTAATTCCTTTAGCAGCACATCATCCATCCAGAGTCATAAAGGAGTATCCTCATGATTTAGGCCATTTAGTACGTTTGTTTAACTTAATTTTTAACTGCTATTAAAAAAATCTAACACTGGGATAAATAAAATATTTGTTATCTTATTTTAAGAAGAACAAAGAGCCCAGCAACAGATGGTGTGGCCCCCACAGAGCCCTGATCTTAACACCGGGGATTATGTCCGGGGTTGCATGAGGAGACATAAGATACTGACATTTTAAATCCACAGAAGAACTGTGGCAAGTTCTCCAAGATGCTGATCAACAGGCCTTAAACAGTGTGCTGAGGTGAACTGGTGCTATAAAAGGCACCAGTACATGTTGTGTGTGTGTGTGTGTGTGTGTGTATATATATATATATATATATATATATATATATATATATATATATATATATATATATATATATTAATGTCTCAATTTATTACATAGTGCTGTTGGTCAGGCTTAGGGGCTTTAGTTTCACACAGTTGCTGATACTTCATCATTTATTGAAGGTTTGTGATCCTGCCTCCAAATCACACAGCAAGTCGAGTCGTTGTTGGGTGTTTTTGTGTGTCTATAGTTAACAGTGTATCCCCTGAAGTACTGGATGACGAGCACCAGTTAGTGAACAAGTTCACTCAGCTATGTGGAAACTTGAACCACAATGGTTGGACCATGAGGTGTGTGGAGCACTAACAGTTGAGTGATTTTAATTTCTCCAAAGAGTTGAAGTTCTTGGACTTATTTTTTTCCCCATGTTTGTGAGCAGGTGTTCACAGCTGGAGCTTCACTGCTGCACTCTTCGAGAAGTTTGTGTGAAGATCGAACGCATCGGACAGCCTGAGGACAGGCCTTTCAGCTGCAGGGTGGGAGAACTCATGGTGAGACAGTGGGAGCAAGTACTCCTCGATGTATTACTCTGTGCCTGCTGTTAGAGATTAGAATGTAAGCTTGGATCCATAAATAATAATGATAATACATTTTATTTATAGGCGCCTTTAAAGACCTTTAAGGTCACCTTACAGTACGACAAAATAAAAGCATAAGGTAAACAACAAAAAAAATAAGCCCTACACACTGGGCTTGTGTGGGGTTATTTTGTGGTATTTGGTACACATTTTATTAGCCACACATGACATGAAGACAAATGTAAAGTTACTGATAAATATGTTTATTCCAGTCCACTTGAGATTAAACTGGGAGAATACACTCCAAGTTTGAAGCTGATTAAATGAACAGGTTTCAAGACAGACAAAGAAATGATGGACAGAGGTTTTTTGCCAACTATAACAATATCAGCAGTAAGGTTACCAGTTTTCTTTGAGAAGTAATCTATTCAAAATTTGAATTTAAATCTGGTTCTAGCATGTTTCTTATTCGTCTCTTTCTACAAGGTCTTAGATGTAGCTAGCCTGCAGGTGCCCCCAGACAGGATTCACGGTGTGTGCATTGATGACGTGGTGTGGCTGCGTGGGGCTGGAACCTCACTCCTCAATGCCACTCTGCGCTGGGACTACCCTGGCAACCTCGTACGTCACTTCAAGGTGTACTGGCGACAGCTGAGAGGACCTCATCCCAGCATCCCCCCCGGTCAGTTGGTTCTGGTGGGTCGCTCGTATTCCAATTTGTTCAGGGTGACGGAACTGAGAGTGCCAGAACCTCCTGGCCTGTTGGAGCTGGTGGTGGAGCCAGTGATCAAGATGGGTTTCCCAGTCCCAGAGAGCCACTGGGGAAGAAGAAGCCTCAGCTACACAAAGGATTCCTCGAAATGAATTTTACACAAATACCAACCAGTAGCATCTTCATTTACTCTCATGCTACGACTGTTACTATCACACCTGTGAAGCAGAATGTGGAGAAATGCCTTAATTTGTTTCAGGATCAGTGTGCATCAGTGATGTAATCACCAATCTCGTCCCAGTGTAGTAGAAGCTTAAAGAAACATGTCAAACATCTTGTGAAATGTGAATTGAGGCTGTGTAAGTATACTTATGAATACAGCTTTGTAACATTTTACATCCTGTTTAAGATCTAGTTATTAACAAGAATGTTCAACAATAAAACTGGATAACTAAAGGATATTTTCAAAAATTTAAATTGAAGGGATAAAAGCAATATGTAACCTGTACGAAAATGCAAATATGATCCATATTTGGGTCAAATAAGTCTGGTGTCTGGGCATTCCAGACAAGAAAAGAAAGAAAGAAATTTGTTAAATTTGATAGTTTTGATCAGTTATGTGTAAAGCCAGTAGCATTCTAAACAAAAGAAAGGTGCACCTTACCCTTATACAGCCCACACAAATATATCAACAGCAGTGATCACAAAACGGTGTATAACTGAAGGCAGTAGTGAGATCTTTAACCAGGTCTTCCCATTAACACCTGACCTGGCCAGAGGGTCAGTCAATGAGCTCGTCAATAGCTTCAATGCAAAAATGTTAAATGTAATGGACACAATTGCTCCCATTAAGGTGAAGGTTATCTCTGGAAGGAAAAAGTCTCCATGGAGAAACTGAGTGTAGGAAAGCTGAGCGCAGATGGAGAAAAACAAACCTCCAGGTTCATTATGACATCGATAAAGAGAAACTTCACAATTATAATTTACAACTGAGGAGTGCAAGAAGGTCCTACTTCTCTGACATCATCACTAAAAACAGCCATAATGCTCGGGTCTTATTTTCTACAGTTGACAGGCTAACAAACCCTCCTGTGTCAGTGGCAGCTGAACTTCATTCAACCATGGCCTGCAATGACTTTGGCAAATTCTTCACAGAAAAAATCCAAAATATTAGACAAGCAATTGGTACATCAACAGCAGATCCAGAATATGTACTGTGTCCACCATCAAACAGTTTCACCCTATTAACAGCAAAGACCTGGAGGACATCTTAGGTCAACTGAACTCCTCCTCTTGCTGTTTAGATGTCCTGCCAACAAGTTTTTTCAAAAAGGTCTCAAAGACTTTAGAGTCAGACCTGTTACAGATCGTCAACTTTTCTTTATTATCAGGTGTGTTTCCAGAATCACTAAAAACTGCTGTAATCAAACCTATACTGAAAAAGGACAATCTTGACAAGACACAAATGAACAACTACAGGCCGATCTCAAATCTCCCATTTTTAAGTAAGATCATTGAAAAAGCAGTTTCTCAACAGCTCAATTACTTCTTAAAACAGAATAACTGCTATGATGCCTTCCAGTCAGGTTTTAGACAGAACCACAGCACTGAAACCGCTCTGACCAAAGTGTTTAATGACATATGTCTGAATACAGACAGTGGAAAAATGTCAGTCTTAGTTTTACTGGATCTCAGTGCAGCATTTGACACAGTTGACCACAACATATTACTGAAACGACTGGAGAACTGGGCAGGACTTTCAGGAACTGTACTAAACTGGTTCAAAACATACTTAGAAAACAGGACATACTTTGTATCAATAGGTAACTTCACATCTGAGCAGACAAGTATCACATGTGGAGTTCCCCAAGGTTCCATCTTGGGACCCCTTCTGTTTAACATTTACATGCTCCCACTGGCACAGATTATAAAGAACAACAAAATAAACTATCATAGCTATGCAGATGACACACAAATATATATCACAATGTCACCAGGAGCCCGAGGCCCTGTACAGGCTCTTGGTAAGTGCATTGAGGAAATGAATGACTGGTTGTGCCACAATTTTCTCCAACTAAACAAAAACAAAACTGAGGTAATAGTCTTTGGCGCCAAAGAAAAACGATTACAGGTCACCAGAGAACTTCAATCTATACATCTAAAAACCACAAACCAGGCGAGAAATTTGGGTGTAGTTATGGATGCAGACCTAAACTTAGAAAAACACATTAAGACAATAACAAAGTCAGCTTACTATCACCTCAAGAATATTTCAAGGATAAAAGATCTGATGTCTCAACAGGACCTGGAAAAACTAGTCCATGCATTCATCTTTAGTAGGCTTGCTTACTGTAACAGCATCTTTACAGGTCTACCTAAAAAATCAGTCAAACAACTACAGCTCATTCAGAACTCTGCTGCTCAAGTCCTCACTAAGACCAAAAAAGTGGACCACATCAGTCCAGCTCTGAGGTCTTTACACTGGCTGCCTGTCCGTCAGAGGATAGACTTTAAAGTTCTAATACTGGTCTATAAAGCTCTGAATGGTTTAGGACCAAAATACATCAGTGACCTCCTGACCCAGTATGAACCTTCCAGATCCCTCAGGTCATCTGGATCCGGTCTTTTATCAGTTCCCAGAGTCAGAACCAGACACGGAGAAGCTGCATTCAGCTTTTATGCTCCTTATATCTGGAACAAACTCCCAGAAAGCCTCAGATCAGCTGAAACACTCAGTTTATTTAAATCCAGGTTGAAGACTCACCTATTCTCAGCTGCATTTGAATAAAGCACCAAATCCACACTTTTAAGCTTAAATTTCAAAACTAACATTTTAACTACTGATTTTATCTATTGTTCTGATTTTATGTGTTTTGATTTTATATACTGTTTTGTTTGTTTGTTTGTTTGTTAATTAATTAGTTAATTTGTTTGTTTGCTTGTTTTAATCAATTTTAAACCATGCTTTTTATTTGTTTTTGTTTCTAATGTCTCTGTAAAGCACTTTGAATCACCTTGTTGTTGAATTGTGCTATACAAATAAACTTGCCTTGCCTTATACTGTTTTATGTCTTTGTCTGAATATCTAATCACAGTCTGTATAAGTGAATACAATCAAATCTACAGCCATGCTAACTGCTATAATAACTAAGCTAATACAATGCTAATATTAGCATGCTAACATACTATGCCGGTATCTTTTTATCTTTTATTTATATATTCTTTGATACATCTTTTTTTTTTTCTTTTTCTTTTTTTTTTGCCTGTCCCGTTTGGCTCTTTTGCATCAGAATTATTGTCTAAAGGCTAAGAAAGATGCCCAACGGATTTACTTTACCAAATTGACCATCCCAGCCTTGCCATAATGGTCCATTTGATTCACCTTTTATTGTTTATTTTATTTTCACTTACTGAATACTGGGGGAAAGAAGGGGAGAAAGAAAGAGGGAAAGAGAAACAGCTGAGAAGAGGGACGGGGGAGAAGGGCACAAAACAAAAACCAACAGAATGAGCAGAAAAAAAAAGAAGAAAAAAAATGCATATATCAATCACCTGGGTCACCTGCTGAGAAAGAAAAAAGAAAACAAGCAGAAGAAAACAAGAGTAATAGAATAAACAACATCACAATGATTATGGGAATATGACAGTAAATACTAAATATTAAACATTATTGTGCAGCACATAAGATCAACAGAACACAGTGTGCTTTGAGGTAGGAGCCAAAAAGGGTGTAGTTTGTGGGTGTGATCACCCGTGTGTACACCTGTGAGCATGGACGCGCTTGTTTTTTTTTTTTTTAAAGGTTCCTTCATGTAATGATCTGCTAGAGGGTGTGGGGGGGCCACAGCCCCGTCCTCCAGGGTATGAAGCAGGTATGGAGGAGATCAAAACTCCAGACATCCAGAGGCCCCCAGAACACAAGAGACCAAGGAAGACCAACAGAGGGGCAGCCGCGCCACTGTCCCAGAAAGAGCTGAGGAGAGTCCCTGATGAGGGCTCACTCAGCAGCCGCGGAGCAGAAGCCAGGGGGAGTTGCAGTGACGCGCCCGTGAGCTCCGCCGGCAGCCAGCCGTGCCTGAGTGACCGAGCCCCAGGCCGAGAGGCCGAGGGCACCCCAAGGCCGCCAAGGAGTGAGCCGGTGTGTACCTGGACGCCCATCCCCGGACACAAAGAACCACCAACGCACCGATGTCTGAGGGAGTCCGCCACTGGCAGGGGAAGTGGTGGTAGGGGAGATAGAAACCTCAGGCCCTCCAAGGTTTGGAGGGCCTGAGATGTCCCAGAGAGGTGGCGCCTGACACCCAACCTGACATATAGACACAGAAATACAGGCACACACATATACAAACATCCATTCCCACCCTCATGCTCTCATATGCACTTACTCCACACTCAACCAACGTGGAGACAGACATAAAGAGACGCTGTACACACGATCACACTCCCCAAGCGTACTCTACAAACCGGGTCTAGGTGCCCTTGCCCCTGGAGGGGGAACTGCATCCAGACCCAGGTGGTGTTACCCTTTTCCCTGCGGTGGGGGAGGCAGACCGCCCCGACTCCGCAGCAGCAGGGAGGCCCCACACTCCAGACCGCAGTCGGACGGCCAACTCCTCCTCCTAGCCCCCCCGCTCCAGCAGGTCGCAGAGAATGGGGGTGAGAGAAGACTCCAAACCTCCTTCCACCCGCTCATTGTAGTGTTGATGCATTTAAAACCCAGGAGGGCATGGAGCTACCTGCCAGAGAGCAGCAGGTAAGCGCATGGTCCCTCCTGCTAGCCCTCAATGTCTACGTGTATTTAACATTGAGAGGTGGGCAACGACGCCAGGGGTGGGGTGTACACCCTGATGGTACTTTGGATTCCGTGTATCGTGCCCACCCCCAAGATCCTATATGTATGTGTAATGAGAGTGTGAGTAATGTGAATGTCTAAGTTGTGGGATAAAATTGAGGCAGAGGCAGCCAGAAGGGGACGGGGGGTAGCCTCCTCTGCACCCTGGTGACATACCCCTACTTAGGGATGGGTATCGTTTAGGTTTTATCCGATACCGGTGCCAAATCGGTACTTTTGAAACGGTGCCGGTGCTTAAACGGTGCTCGAACCGGTGCTTAAAGAATGGAGAACACAAACTTTGTCCAAAAACCTCTCATGTTCAGCTGGTGTTTTTTGTAAAAAGATAACAATGTTAGCCTTTTCTGCAGCTATGGGGCATATATGGCATCACTCTTGGCTGGAAGCAGTGCTTAATCAATGGAAAAAACACAAACTTTGTCCAAAAACCTCTCATGTTTAACTGTTTCCCACTTTTTCTTTAGTCATTTTAGCCTTTCTGGCCAGGGTGAAGGGAGTATCTGCCATCAAACAAGAAGACAGCCGCATGTAGCTATGATGATGTTTGCTAGTTCACCTTACATGCATTAATGTAATAACGTGGTTAGCCTACTCAACGTAAATTACACACGAACAACATGAAGCTACTCATGCAGAGAAGGATGGCTGCTGCTGCCATCATCACCCGTCATCATTTCTGCTACACTGGCAGGGCTAGGGGCCAGGACTCTATTCTTCGGGTTTTTGGGGGATGTTGCTCCGGGTCCGATAACTGGCAACCCACCCGACGTGCACGGTGTGAGGTCTCGCAGCAAGCTATCAAATACGGCGCATTTCTCGGCTTTAAAAAAAACGCTATGCGTCACCAGCTGTTTAATCGGATTCTTGGTGTTACCTCCTTTGACAGTATCACAGTA